CGCAGAGAAAATCGCACGCGCGCAGGTATATTGGCAGGCGCCCAACGCGACCCATGCACAACTGCCAACGCGACACAGGATTGGATTATGCGGCAGCGCGGCAATTGTGCAATACGCGCGCGGGTTCGCAGCGGGGCGCGGGCGGCAGTAGATCGCACAATGCAACCCAACATAACGTTCTGGCATGCCCCCCCTTCCCCCCCCCCCCCCACACACACACACACACACACACACACACTCACGCACACACACGCCGCCCCACCCCACCCCACCCCACCCCACTCACCCAACCCACCCCGCCCCATCCCAAAGTCTTCATGGCCGCGCAATGCCGCCTTCACGTGGCCGCTGCACCCCGAGGGATACCATTGATGAACAAACGCTCTTCGACCTTATATGGGATTGTGCGTTGCATGTTCGCCGCCCCGTCCCCGACTTGCCACTGTGCCCCCATGACTGATCATGCGCGGCCAATTGCCACTACACACAAAAACGTTGACAAAAAACAAACAAGTATACATAAAGCCAGGGACTGTACCAGGGGCGCCCTAAGAGCGCCCCCAAGGAAACGCTGAGTGACCTCTGCAAACCCGAGCGGGGCGCAGCGCGCGCAAGCGACGCCCGCGCGCCCAACGCTCCCACCCCCACCCCTCACACCCCTCCCCCCGCATGTACCCAAGAGGGCACCTGTGCACCGAGATAGCACATGGGAAAACTCCGTGGATGTCAACAAAGGGCCACAGGAATGCCCAACATGCATCCAATGCGACCCCATCACAGATCCATCAGCCACCCCCCCCCCCCGATGTTTGTTTATTTTCACACTGGTGTGCATTTCTGTTTCGTTAGTGTTTACCTGCGCACATCCTCTGTGCAAATGCCCGAGGCATCATTTCTGGATGGGCTGGCGGGGGTGCGCGAAGGGCCAGGAAGAGGACGCAGGAGGGGTAGACGCAGAGAGGAGGGCAAGGAGGATGCGGAGTGAGTCGCAGCGGGGAGATGCTGGCAATAACGGTGTTTAGTATGATGAGGGGGGCGATGAGGATGGCGAGGGTGATGACAGGATCATGATGCAGGGCGGGTGTCGGTGGATGGAGGGGGGAGGCGGCGGCAACGACGATGACGACAACGGGTCAAACGTGCGTGCAACCCAGGCACCTCGTCATCCCACATGGGAGTCACCAGGACTCGAGCGGGGGCGTTCCGCCGTGCGATCCCCGTGGGGCGCGCCCCCAAGCGCGGGGCCCGAAAACGGCCGCAAAATCCCAGACGCGGCTCGGTCGACCCCTGCCGCGGCCGAGACCCCCCCCCGAGATTGCCCAACATAAGCCCGATATGGCTCGAATGCGGCGCACGAGCGTCCCACGATGGCCGAAGATTGCCTCCGACCAACTCGAGGCACCCCAGGCGAGGAAAGGCGAGGAGGGCGGGAAGGAATGCGCCAGGCGAGGAGTGGATGAGGGGCGAGGAGGCGATGGTGGAGAGGGTAGGACGGGAGAGGGCGAGGAAGGAGTCGGCGGGGGAGAGATGCGTCGCGGCGGGGGCGGCCAGAACGGAGGGGGGGGGGCGCGCGCGCGGGGAGGGGGAAAGTTGACGCCGAGAGAGGGAAAGGCAAGGGGGGACGCAAGTGACAGGTCCTTCACCGAACTCGCCCGCGCTGCACGGGAGGGACAGCGCGAGCGCCCCCTGCACGTCCTGCTCCTGGTGGGAGCGCCGCTGCCGCAAGAGGCGCGCGCCCGCGGCCAGGCGCCGCCGTCGCACCTCTGCCACGAGACTGTTGGCGCGGACGGCGCGCGCCACGGCGCCGTCGACGGCGTCGGCAGTGGTCTCGGCGGCGACGATGGCATGATCGTCGACCTCGTAGTCTGCCTCGTCACCAGACAACATCCCCTCGATGGTGTCCAACTCAACATGGCGCGCCTGGGCGCGGAGAGCCCGCTCCGCAGACCGCCTCTGAGCACACGTGAAATACATGGGGCCGTCCTCAGCATCCTGATCGGCCTCCTGTCGCAAACGGGCCCTTGCACCAGGGCTCAGCTCACGGTACTTATTGCTGAAGTCGAGGAAGCTCCAACCCTTGCCAGTGCTTTTGCGCATGAAATAACGAAACAAATGAACCTTCTTCCGCTTCCTGGGGCGCGCGGGAGGCCCATCTTGATCAGCGGGGGCGTCGCCGCAGTGGTCGGCATCACTGCGGCCAGTGGCACGGCTGTCGGATCCGTTGGCACGAACTGGCTTTGAAATGTTGCTCGCATTCAATGTCACGGTGCCCTGCGCCACGCACGTCTCGGCGAGCCTGTACCGCAAAGACCCAAGAATCCAGTCGGCGTTCACTTGATGAAATCCAACCCGCCCTCTGGACGCGTGTGGTCTAAGGCGCTCCCTCTGCCAACCGCCATTATTCCCCTTCGGGGAGGAGTTCACACCTCCCCCCGACGCACCCCCTTGGACCCGGACAGGGGGTGAGAAGGCGGCGAACAGCCAGAGCGCCCAAGATGGCCCAGCACGGCCTCAAGAGCGCCTCGGAAAGCCCAAGATGGTGTCCAACAGTGGCCAATCTAGCTTAAAGCGCCTCAAGGTGGCCCCGACACTGCTCCACGAGGCCACGAGAATGATCCAAGACGGCTCCGAGAAGCCTCCGAGACCTCCAAAGAGTTCCCCAAGAAGTCAAACACATTCCAAAGCCTAGAGAAAACCAACGATATTGGCATTGTCGCCCGTTCGCCCCCGATGGTCAACAAAAGCCTCAATATTGCTCAAATATGGTTCACGAGAGACGTCAGAAAAGCCCAGGGGGCCCACTACGGCCCCAAGAGCGCCCATGAGCGCTCCATGAGCGCCCTAGAATCGCCACAATAATGGATTGTAGATGCTCCAGAGGGGTAAAGCTAACTAGGGGACGCCCCTTATTTGATCGACGCCCTCCAGGATTGCCCCAAGACGCGCACAGGAAGCCCCAAGAGGCCCCATTAGAATACCAAAATGGCTCCAAGATGCCCCCCCCCCCTGAAGCCCCTAGGAGGGCCCCAAGAGATCCCCAAGCGGCCCCAAGAGCCGCCCCCCCAAGGGGCACCAAAGACGCCCAAGAGCCCCCAGGACCGCTAAGAACCCCCCCAGACGCCCCAGGAGGCACCCACGGAGCGCCCAATAGATATCGCAAGAGGCGCAGAGATGCGGCCAAGAGATCTCGGGCCCTTTTGATTGCCCTCCTCCTCCTGCTCCCCGTTTATCAGCATACGCCTTACCTACATCCGCATACTTACTCTCCTTCTCATTATATCCCTTTTCCGTAGCCCCACCCCCTCATCTATCCACCTTGCCTTCGCATTAGCCTCCTCCCTCCATCGCACAATTCGGCAATGTCTATCCTTGCTCCCGCGCTTCCCTGATCACATCAATTCGCCTAGACGTCGTTCCTGGATGGGCTGGTGGTGATACGCGAAGCGTTTTGAATGGCTGCTGATGGGTGTGGTGCGACGCAGCAAGCAGGCGTCTGCGAATTCTGCCATTTGAAAGCTCCTCGTGTACAATGTCAACCTTCGTGTCCCTGGCGATCGACAGCAGAACAGTCAGTGCCTCGCCGCCGAGCAAATCGTCCTTCGTCGGGTACTCAGTGAGAAACCATGCACTGAATGTGTCGAGCATGCAGGGCTTGGTCGCCGCGATCACTATCTCGTCGACGAGCTCCTCGGGGCGTGCCAGGAAGGCGAACAGCTTGTAAGGGAACCGCTGGTGCGGTGCAATCCGCGCCCGCCCACGTGGGCGGAGCTCAGCCAGCCCGCTGGGCGAGCTTGAGTTGAACGTTGGCTCTGTTGCATTCTCCCACCCCCCTCCCCCGACGGGGGGGAGGGGGATGGGGTGTAGCGGGGCGGGAGGGATGTGCCGAGGCGGGCTGAAGCGATCAAAGACGCGCGGGGGCAAAGAGGGGGACAGCCGAACCGTGCAGCGGCAAGGTGGCGGGAAGGCTGCGGCTGGATGGATGGATGGGGGAGCGGGGGGAACGACGCTGAACAGGATAAGGAGAATGAAGAGACGACGAGTAGGAGAAGGAAGGATGAGCAGGATGAGAACGGCAAGATAAATTGCCAGGGGCGCCGCAGATGCTTCTCGGAGCCCCTTGGGATATTTCGTTGGCGCTTCTTGGAAGCGTCTCGGGGCGTCTTCGGGATCTCTTGGCGGCCCTGGGGGGGGGGGGGGTGCTCCTGGGCGTCTTGTGTGCGTCGGGGGGGGGGCTCGTGTGGCCGCTTGGGGTCTCTGTGGGGGCTTCCTGTGGGCAGCGTGGTGCCATCCTGGGGCCATCATGGGACCTCGCGGGGCCCCTGGGGCCTCTTGGGGCGACTTTGGGGCCATCTTGGAGCCTCGCGTGGACTCGTGCACCCGTTGCTGGACGGGCTTGTGGGGCTACGCGAAGCGTCTGGAATTAGGAGGTCGTGCACGATGGCCTTGGACCGAAGAATGAGCCTGAATGCCAGCGCTCCGAAGTAGGTGGTGTACGATCTGGGGTGCAAAGCGCGCCAGTCATCCATCGCATTCATGGCGACGTCCGACTCCGCAATGAACATTGTCTCGAAGTAGTTCTGGGCTGCATTCGTCAGGGCGTACTGTCGGCGCAGGGGGCGCCTCGGGTCGAACTCGAACGTAGCGGCCCCGCCGTCGGCAATGGTTCCCATGCGCTGGTTTAATTCCCACCTGATGCCGCTCTGCTCCATGTATCGCCCGAGGAGCGCCTGCAACTTCGCGACGGCAACGTGCAGGATCGGGTACGCGAACAAGTGGCCGTCCGCAATCAAGCTGACGCCAGCGAGCCTGTACGCCTTGTTCTGTGTCCGAACTGCGGCCACGTCGTTCTCGCCCTGCTTGTCCGTCGTCGCACCGACCGCGTCGTTCTGAGTGATCAGATGCTTCTGGTGCGCGGTGCTGCCAGGCCCCATGTAAGCCGCGCAACTCCTCGCGGATAACCTCCTGGCCATGTCTGGTGTCAACTCGCCCCTGTTGGTAACTCATTTGATGTACGCCTTCGAACAGATGCCGCGCACTGCGTCTAGGAAGCAAATGTCCGCGAGCGCCTCTGACAAGCCAGTCCAGCTTTTCCTGTTGAACACTCGAAGGGCTCTGGGGGCAATAGCGAACAAGATATCCCAGGACAGCTTCTCGATGACGTGTTTGACTGAGTTGGTTTCGTCCCAGCCCACATAGATCTCGATGTGGTTATGGTTCTGCCAATCCCCCCTGAGAGTGCACTCGAGCGTCGCCCATCGCGCCCGCGCCCCCTTACCCTTTCCAAGGTAGCTCTGAACCACTGCTTTCCGATATGCCGCTGCCTCTTGCGAAGACGCGCCCCGTCGGACATCGGCGTGATCAATCAACGCTTCAACGATGGCCTGCCTGAACTGCGCCATGGCACCAGCGGCTTGCAGGCTCAGAGAAAAACGAATGCCGAAAGTGAAGAACAAGTCGACGATCTGGCAAGAACGCTTGTTGCACGTCGAGACCTTGTGGACGTGGCAGAGCAAGTGAAGGCAGCGCTTGTCCTTTTTTTCTCTTCTCGAACTCGACTCGGATGTTGGAGGATGCGGCGTCCGACATGGCAACCCTGATCTTGTGCTTGAACTTGGTTGGGGCCATGCTCAGGTGCTCGACGGAGCCAAGCGCTTTGTTGATGACGTTCGAGGTGGTGCTCTCAAGGTTCGATAGCGAGTTCAGCGTCTTCACCCTGAACAGATAATATGTCGGACCGATTCTGATCAACATTGATGCCCATCGCGTGACCTGGAATATCTTGGAAACCTGCGTGTCCTTCACGCGGATGTGGGGCCTGGAAGCCCTGATCTGGCCATAACCGTCGATGCCGTCGCCGTCTCCACCCGCTCCGCCTACGTCCTCGATCGACTCCATGTAGCTGTGCAGCGGTAGCAGCACTGCATCCTCACTTTGCACGGCTCCAGTCTTCAACGGCGTCTCGTCGTAGGCCTCGAACATCGCGTACATCACCAGGTTAACGTCTGGAATAGTGGTGAGCTTCATCTCGAGTTGGCCTCTGAGCCACCTGTCCATCATGAGAGTAAGCTCTGCGAGGCGTTCCTTCACTGTCCATGCGTGTGAGTGGTGCGACAAGTTGATGCCATGCAGCATGGCCTTGGTGCTCGAGACCCCCTGCTGAGAAAGTATCCGTTCCGCTCGGGCGCACAATTCGTCCGACTGGAAGTCTGTGGAAACCGCCGCATCGAACAATGCTCCGAACATCTGGTGGTCGACAACGACGTCTGCGTGAACGGGGAGCAGCGCATGGCACGCAGGGATGATCGCGCCGACGGGATCCGCACCAGGGTCGTGGACGGGATCCGCACCAGGGTCGTGCACGGGATCCGCACCAGGGTCGACGGGATCCGCACCAGGGAAGACGGGATCCGCACCAGGGAAGACGGGATCCGCTCCGAAGCGCTGCTGGTACCTGTCGCCCCAGCCGTCGGACATGAACTCTGAGATGGAGGGCGCCCCGCAGGGCGAACTGATACGGAGGCCGCGCGACGGGCGGGCGTGAAGAGCTGCACACAGCAGGGATATGAACATCATCATATGAAATGCCCTCGGCGAAGACTCTCGAGCCAGGGGGGCTTCGGGGGGTGCACGGGGCGTCGGGGCCCTGAGCGAGAACGCAAACGTGGATTAGGGGAGTGCCCAATGGGGGCACGAAACTTTTGGAGGGCGCGCCTTCCGTGGAACTCCATATGGGGCCCTTCGGTGGAACTTCCCATGAGGCCACGGAGCGTGTGATGGGGTCACCGTTGTGGAGACTGAGGGACATGCATGCGGGATTTCCCACTGCGGCCTTCGGCGGAGGTCCCTATAGGGTCACGAAACGTGTGAAGGGCTGTGCCAAAGGACAGGGGGCATGCTGGATTTCCCGCTGGGGCCCTCGGAAGAGTTCCCTTTGGGGCCACGAAGCGTGTGCGTGGGCGGCGGCGGCGGCGGCGGCGGCAGTGGTGCGCGGCGGCGGCGGCGGCGGCGGCGGCACGCGTCGTGCGCGTCGCGGCGGGGCGGCGGCGGGGGCGGCGCGGGGGCGGCGGGGGCGTCGGCGGCGCGCCGCGCCGACTCCCAGCTGCCCCCGCTCGCTTGGCCCCTCTTTTTCCTCCTTTCTCCTCCTTCACCTCCCCCCTTCCTCCTTCCTCCTGTCTCATCCTTCCTTCATCCGTTATATGTTTGTTCCTGCGCACGTTCCCCATTTTGTCGTAAGCCTCCTTTCCTCTTTCTTTGCTGCTCCCCTTCCTCTTGTTTGGAAGCCACGAATGGCAACGCTAGCTAGTTCCGAAAAGGAGAACTACAAAAAAATCCCCCCGAACCGCCGTCCGAAAAAAAAAAAAAAAAAAAAAAAAAAAAAAACAAAAAAAAAAAACAAAAAAAAAAAAAAAGAAAGAAAAAAAAAAAAAAAAAAAAAAAACAAAAAAAAAAAAAAAAAAAAAAAAAAACAAAAAAAAAAAAGAAAAAAAAAAAAAAAAAAAAAAAAAAAAACAAAAAAAAAAAAAAAAAAAAAAAAAAAAAAAGAAAAAAAAAAAAAAAAAAAAAAAAAAAAAAAAAAAAAAAAAAAAAAAAAAAAAAAAAAAAAAAAAAAAAAAAAAAAAAAAAAACAAAAAAAAAAAAAAAAAAAAAAAAAAAAAAAAAAAAAAAAAAAAAAAAAAAAAAAAAAAAAAAAAAAAAAAAAAAAAAAAAAAAAAAAAAAAAAAAAAAAAAAAAAAAAAAATAAAAAAAAAAAAAAAAAAAAAAAAAAAAAAAAAAAAAAAAAAAAAAAAAAAAAAAAAAAAAAAAAAAAAAAAAAAAGAAAAAAAAAAAAAAAAAACAAAAAAAAAAAGAACAAAAAAAAAAAAAAAAAAAAAAAAAAAAAAAAAAAAAAAAAAAAAAAAAAAAAAAAAAAAAAAAAAAAAAAAAAAAAAAAAAAAAAAAAAAAAAAAAAAAAAAAAAAAAAAAACAAAAAAAAAAAAAAAAAAAAAAAAAAAAAAAAAAAAAAAAAAAAAAAAAAAAAAAAAAAAAAAAAAAAGAAAAAAAAAAAAAAAAAAAAAAAAAAAAAAAACAAAAAAAAAAAAAAAAAAAAAAAAAAAAAAAAAAAAAAAAAAAAAACACACAAAAAAAAAAATCCCAAAAACACAACAAAAAAGCCCAATTTTCTATGTTAACATAGAAACGGCCCTTGCCCGAAACATGCCCGAATTCTGGGTTTCCTCAAGTTCACACCATTATGCTTGTGGCCGCGGTCTCAACGCTGAGAGCAGGCCTCAAGATCTTGGCCCCGACCAAACCAACATGTAAGATGAAGAAGTCTGAGTCCATCATCAACTTCGTTCTCGCCTCGTCGCGTTTCGACCGGGACCTCTCAGGGGCCACTGTTTTGGACGAGTACCCCATGAGCCCGCATAGGCCCGTGCTGTTCCAGCTGCGCTGCGGGAGGCCCTTCATGGTGCCAGTCTTGGAGAAGCCCCAACCTCTCTCTACTTCCAGGCCCTACGGGCCGACAAACCATGTGCCGCCTTGGGGCCGCACGGAAGCCGCCTTGGATTTCCTGGACCAGGTCATTGATAGAGAGTCTGGGATTGAGGCCCGCTTGCTGGCCCTAGATTCGGCGTACCAGTACTTCGCCTCGGACATGGCGAAGACGATCAGCATTCGCACTGACACTCCGATTAAGTCGCCCACCGCCCCGCGAGTTGGCCCTCCAAAGATCCGCCGGGCACCAGGAGCCGCTCGGGAGGTGGAACCCAGGGCCAGTTGGAGGAGTCTATCAATTCCGATTCGGTGGTTGAAAACAAAGTCATGGATGTCATCCGACGGGATTATTCCAAGGAGGAGTTTTACCTTTCGAAGATTCTGACCAGCATCCAGTCACCACCCCCAGAGCTCGAAGGCACCGAGGAGTTTGCCCGTTTGCTCGCCAGTGTTAGGACTGCTCTAGGCGCTGCTGCCCAGGACCAGGACAATGGCCAGATGGATCCCAAGCTCGTTTTGAAGGTATTTGAAGAGCTCGATGATGCAGTTGATCACGCGCTCCAAGCTGAGGAGGCCAAGGACCGCCAAAGTGAAACAACGTCTTGGAACAACTGGGTCCAGGAGGCCATGTCTCGGGGAGTTGGTTGGGCCCATCGTTGGACCTCGAAGCTCACGCCCTGGCAACCTCAGAAAGTTTGGCGCCCCGAGCTGCAGACATATGCAGGTCGGCCTTCTGAGCTGCTTCAGTCCGAGGCAGCCCGCCTCGCAGGATTGCGGCAGGCCACGCCGCAGGAGCAGGACTTTAATTTGCCGTCGGCCGAGCGTGACCGCCTGGAGCCCATCACGCCTGGCCAGATCAGGTCGGCTGCCAAAAGATTTCGAAAATCTACCAGCCAGACTTGGGATGGGTTTCACCCTCGTCACTTTGCTTATCTCAGTGATGTTGAACTTGAACATGTGTGTAAGCTTCTGGCAGCGATCGAGGAGATTGGAGCATTTCCGACAGCCATTCGCGGCGTCATTATCACGCTGATTGAGAAGCACAAGCCTGGCCCGTCTGAGGGCCCCTCGTACCGAGGCATCGGTTTGCTCCCTGCCCTCTGGAGGGCGCGGTCCAAAATTCGCCAGGAGGAAGCTCGTCTGTGGGAAAGGGCCAACAAGAGGCCTTATCTTGCTCATCAGTCTGGTCGTGGGATTTATCGAACTACTATGAGAATGTCAATCGTAAGAAATGGAAATCTCGGGCGATCTCTTCTGGATTTTCGGAGACGCTAACGTGTAGTATGATGAATCCGCATGGGGGTCCCAGGGCTGTCGCAACCAGAACTTTGGCTATGTACGCGGGGTGTGCTACCAAAGGCTTCCCTGCTGGCTGCTCGCTTGCGACTTACAACGTCCAAATGTATTCGGTTTCCCCCATGGACTCCTGGGTTCCGACGTTCCCCACCGTGGACCCCTCCATCTTCATAGGTGATTTCATGTTGACAAGCAACAATACAAGCGTTCGCCTGTTGGCGTCGGACCTGGCGCAGGCCTCCGACAGCGTGCTAGATTTAATCGAGGAGGACCTCGACTGCTCGGTCGCCTTGCACAAGGCTGCGGTGCTGGGCTCGTCTGCTGAAGTCCAGCAACGCCTGGCCAAAGCTCTAGGCAAGTACAGTGGACCAGAGGGAGACAACCAAGCACAGTCTGCGCCAAACCTCGGAGTCGATTTCACCATGGGCAACAGGGTCTCGAAGAAGGCCCGAAGAACTCTGGCGAAGCGAACCTCCAAGATGAAGCGTCGACTCCACCGCATGTCCCAGATTCGGCGAGCAGGTGCGAATATGCGGAAGGTCTATCAGACAGGCTTGAAAGCAGCCGCCTACTACGGCGCCGAGGTCGTCGGCCTCACCAACCCAGAGTTGCACGAAGCCCAGTCCCTCTACCTCAAGATTGGAGGGCCCCGTTGTGCTACAAGATCCAGGTCCGTGGCATTATCGATATTGGGGGCCCGACGTGGAGTGCTGCTCTTGGGCTGGCCTGTTATTGGGCCAACCTGATCTGGAGAGTTGCTCATTATCCTGGTACGATCGGCTTTTCTCTGGTGGGACTCCGAGAGCAAGCCCTTCAGGTCCTCCACAAGCCCCCGAAGACATGGTACCAGATCCGAGGGCCCTTAGGGGCCACGCTGCTCAGCTTGAGTCGTCTGGGGTGGTCCATGCCCGACCCACTCGTATTTCGGGACTCGCAAGGCCAGGGCTACCCTCTCACCACTACCTCCACAGCCCTCATCAAGAAGCTGTTTCAATCTCAGTGGCAGTTGCAGTTAGACGCGAAGGCGGGGCAGAAGCTCGGTTTCGACGAGCCGCTCGACCCGTCGGTCATGCAGCACGCGCTGCAGGATAGTACAGTTCAGGCCCACAAAAGGAAGACGCTGCTCTCACATGGCTGCCAGTGCACTTGGTCTAAAGAAAAGATGGCCGAGGCAGGCTATCATAATGAAGTCGAATGCGAGTTGTTAAGGGCCCCGTGGACTCTATCCCCCACAGGCCCCTCGAGTGCCCGCAGACCCACAACTTGAGAGAGGAAATGTTAAAGGAAGAAGACATCGAGGAGTTCAAGGACCCGAGGAGAGGATTTCCATATGCGCTAGGATTTCAACTTCGACCTGTACCCATAGCTCGGAGGCCCCCTGGTTTAGGACTAGATCAGGCTGCATATTGGTCTCGCGATGGGCTGCCCAAGGAGGTGGCCATGCAAGGAGAAGTTTTCCACGACGGCAGTGTTTTGAAACCTGGGCCCGCGGTGTACGACGCCCCCGCCTGGTCCGTGGTCAAAATCGATGAGGACGGCGACTTGGTTGCCAGTCTCTCAGGCCCTGTGGGGGCCAGTCTTCCCCCCACGTCGCCTGCTGCCGAACACCTGGGGTTTTTAGTTGCTGCTTCCTGCCCCAGAGTCACCAAAGCGTGGACGGATTTCAAGGGTATCCTTTCGGTGCATCAGAGCGCCGAAGTCTCACGAAAGGAAATGTATTCGGGTGTTTCGGTTCTGGCCAGGACCCAGAGCTGCTTTGCGTCCCTCGAGATCGGGAAAGTCAAGGCCCACCAGGATTTGTCGACCCTGGAGGCTGGCTCGAGGGACTGGTTTGTTGCTAAAGGAAACGACTGGGCGGACAAGGTGGCCAAACAAGCTGCTGCCAGAATCCCCGCCCCGTCCCAGAGGGAAATCGAGTATTGTAAAGAATGCCGTAGCCGTGTTCAGAGGCTTGTGAAGTATGCTGCTGAGGCGCTCTCCCTGTGGGCCCCTCTCGCCCCGAAGACGGGCAAGAAGGCCTTCGAGAAGCCCTCCCAGAGCCTCAGCCCCCCAGTTGGGGCAGCGGGAGCAGTCAGCCAGTGGACTGCACCACCCCCGCCTGGGGGTCAGCCTCGGCGCGCTCGAGCGCGCCGTAACCCCCAGGGCGTGGTCAGACATCAGTGGGCATGGCTGAATAGCCATTGGCTGTGCCTAGCGTGCCACACCCGCGCCCGCACGGACAGCACCCGCAAGGCTCGCATGCGAGAAGCATGCCCAGGTAATTCAGCCATGTTGTCTAAGCTAATTCGGGAACCCCAGAAGCACCATTTAATGATATGCGATTACCTTGATGTCGAGTCCTTCCTTGTCGTTTGTAAGAGGTGCGGCCGCTATAGCGAAAGCAACCTCAAAGGACTCAAAGGTGAATGCAAGGAGCGCTTTCAAAGTAAATTATCCCAAGGTGCGTGGTCCCTCCTGGCTGGCGGCCGTCATCCCAAGAGCAGTATGAAGGCCGCCCCCGACTTTCCCTGCCCATTCCTGCGGCCCAGCTCTCCTCAAGGAAGGAGGGGCGACGTAGGGACGAAAGAGTGCGTAAGGGGAGAGCGGATGTAACCCACAGGTTTCGGCTAGGGTCGGGTCGGCCTAACCCTAGCCTTCCTCATTAGCATGTGATGGTCCTGCTCCTCCTCCTCCTCCTCCTGTTCCTCTTCCTCCTCCTCCTCCTCCTCCTCCTCCCTCCTCCTCCTCCTTCCTACTCCCTCCTCCTCCTTCCCCTCCTCTTTCCCCTCGTCCTCTCCTCTCCTCCTCCTCCTCCTCCTCCTCCTCCTCCTCCTCCTCTTCCTCCTCCTATTCCTCTTCCTCATCCTCCTCCTCCGCCTGGCGCGTGGGGCCGGCGATTTTCCACGGCACCGCTGCGACGGCGGCTTGTGGCCACGGCGGTGTCTTGCCTGGCGCGCTTCGTCGACGAAGCCCCAGGAGGGGGAAGAGGCGAATTCGGGGAGGCCAGCAGCGCGGGAGGCGAATCGGATCGCACAGGCCCGCGCCTCTCAGGGGGAGGAGGAGGAGGAGGAGGAGGAGGAGGAGGAGGAGGAGGAGGAGGAGGAGGAGGAGGAGGAGGAGGGGGAGGAGGAGGAGAAGGTAGGAAGAGGAGGAGAATGATGAGAGGAAGAGAGGAGGAGGAGGAGGAGGAGGAGGCAGAGGAGGAGAAAGAGGAGGAGGAGGAAGAGGAGGAAGAGGAGGGCGACGAAGAAGAAGAATAGGAGGGAGACGAAAAAGAAGAAGAAGAAGAAGAAAAAGGAGGAAAAGGAAGGGCGGAGCAGGAGCGGGAGCAGGAGGAGAGGGAGGAAGGAGAACAAAATGCGCTTCAATCGATGCAGGTCCTCGAGAGGTGGATGAGGAGAAGGAAGAGGGGGAGAAGGAGGAGGAGGAGGACCCCAAGAGAGTCCCAGCCGGGCCCAGAGAGGCCCTCATGAGACCGCCAAAGAAGCCCCGAGAAGCCCCCAAAGGCCCCCAAGAGGCCCAAGGAGGCCCCCAGGGTGCCTCCAGGAAGCTCCCAGGAAGCTCCCAGGGGGCCCCAAGAGTGCCCCCAGAGGCTCCCAAGATGCCCCCTCCTCCTCTTCCTCCTCCTCCTCCTCCTCTTCCTCCTCCTCCTCCTCCTCCTCCTCCTCCAACTCCTTCTCCTCCTTTTCCTCCTTCTCCTCCAACTCCAATACCTCCTCCTTCTCCTCCTCCTCCTCCTCCTCCTCATCTTCCCTGTCATCCTCCCCCAAGTGTTGCCCGAAGGGTTTCCACAACGGCTGGGGAAACACATGGTCCGATACTTGGCAGAACTCTTGCCACAACGCTCGGCCACATGGGCGAGTCCAAAAGGAAGGGAGCAGCGGTGATTCGCCGTCGGCGTCTTCGATGCACATCTATATATATATATATATATATATATTATGTATATACACACACCTCGATCGATCTATACAGAGGCAGATAGCTCGATGAAAAGACAGTACGGTCGACATTTCAACAGACATAACAATCTGTCGATATATAGTCAGGTAGTGATGCAGCTATATAGCAAGTGATACATACATATGGGAAGTGATGTCGATAGATAGACCGACAAAGGTTGTCCTAGTGGTTGTCCCGATGGTTGTCCCAATGTTGTCCCGATGGTTGTCCCGATAGTTGTTCAAATGGTTGTGCCGATAATTGTCCCGATGACCGTCCCGATGGCTGTCGCGATGATTGGCCCGATGGTTGTCCCGATGTTTGTGTCGGTGGAGGTCCAGGTGCCAGTCGACATAAAGATCGCAACATATATCGATAGTGGAATCGGTAGATAGATAGATAGTGAGATCGATATATCGTGAGATCGGCAGATAGACAGTAAGATCGACAGGTAGATAGAACGTGACAACAATATGTTCACACAGATGGGATATGCACACGGTGATTTCGGCAGAGGGTGAGATAGATGGATACTGAGATCGATAGATCGATAGAACGACAGAGGGGTTGTTCAATGCATAAAGATGGTTGTCCCGACGGTGTCCCGTCGTTGGTCTCTTCACATACTCACGCCATCCTCGTTATCGGCCTGTTGCCAGTCGTACAGGTGTAAGTACAGATGTGAACATATACAGATAGTTTTTACAAAACAATGAAAGAGGAGAAAGAGGAGGAGGACAAGAAGGAGGAGGGGGAGGAGCAGCAGCAGCAGCAGAAGGCTGAGAAGAAGGAGAAGGGGGGAACAACCCTATGTGGTTGAGCCCTGCGAGGTGCGCGCAGGCCCTTGGACCGTTTGAGTCCTCAACTCGAATTCGCGGTGCAGGTACAGAACACTCTAAACTGGCATACACAAACCAGAAAGCTGGAAACACGCATGACTGGATTCACACACATGTGGACCAACTGCAAGCCACGTGCTGTATGCGCATGCAACGGAAGCGCTGCGTGCCCGGCCATAGAAGGGCCGAGCGGCCGAAATATATTTGGCCAAATTTGTATCCAACTCTCGCACAAGCCAACGGCGTCACGTGTATCCAGCTTTCTGGCAAACCTTCGCAGAGCCGCGCAGAAGTCTCCGGCTGGCGCCAGACCCGCCTGGGAGCGGCAAGACATTCCGCGCGGGCTCCCGAATGTTTGTGCTCGTGCCCGATTATCCTGTCCGGAACTGTCGGGGAAGCAGGAGATGCCGACACCGCCACTGCTTCCCTGGACCTCTGCCAGTTTGCGTTCCCACGAGAGCCTCGAGGAGAGCTCCGCCGTCACGACAGAGGGTCACTGCGCCGACCTTGCAGACGTGCTGCAGCGGATTCTTGCGTGGACTGCAGTGGATGCGAAACCATAAAAGGCGAGCGAAAAACGAAGCGAGTTTCACGTGGATTTGTTGTAGTCTTCACTCCTGGCCAAAAAAAGCCCGCACGAAATTCACCTCGAAATCCGAAACGAGATTCTCCAGGACAATCTGGGCCCATCACATCGTTTTCCAAACGAAGTCCGCTCTCCGATGTTGGCGCCATCACACTGGGGACCCTGGGATGAGCAGCGGTATCGGTATCGGTGTCCCCTCCTCCTCTGAGAATAGCCCCGCGTCGGGGATCTCGGCGGCACCACCGCGAGCCTGTCTGAGCCCCGAGGGGAAGGGGGCCGATGATCCTCAGCACGTGTGTCAGAGCCAACGCGTGCTTGCCCATCGAGACCGCTCCATACGACGCAGGTGGTGTGATGATCTGCTGGTGGAGCTGAACGGGGTAGTCGGCTGCACGCAAGAGTGACCCCGGGCCAGAGTGACCTTTGGTGCGCGGCTTGTGCGGGGGCGCGACGGGGCCAAGCACAAGCGCGCAAGACGCTACTATCGCACCGAGCGCGGCGATCGGGGGACCCCAGTGAGCGCGCACCAAAGGTCACTCCGGCGAAGGGTCACTCTTACGTGCAGTCGAGGTAGGCGCACATTGGGCCAACACGCGTCCTGGGGATCATCGGAACGGGGGGGGGAGGGGCGACATGCCGCCGCGGCAGCTCGTGCGCTGCGGGGCCACGCCGTGAGCCGCCGCGCGCGCGGCCGCGCCCCGCTCGTGGGGCGACGGGCTGCGGCCGCCGAGCGGAGGCGTGCGCCGGCCCTGCTGGTGGGGTCGCGCAGCCTGCGCGCGCCATGGGCGCGGTCGGAAGAGGATGCAGTCGCGGCACGGCGCCCGGGAGCAGTGCGCAGGGGGAGAAGGAGGAGGAGGAGGAGGAGGAGGAGGAGGAGGAGGAGGTGAAGGAGAACCAGGTGAGCTGGAGGACGCAAGAATCCCCACCTGGGCGCTGGAACCGTCGGTACTGACAGATGATGGCGCCGCAAGGTTGCTGCCGACGGTTCCGACGCCTTCAGAGATAATACCCAGGTCCCTGTGCTTTCCCAGTGGGTGCACGATGGGACGACGGTTCATTCCACAGCACTGCAAACACAGACACGTCAAGACTCTTCGCTCGTGCCGTCCAACGTGTCTACCCCAACCCTCGACACTTCCCCCACTTCGTTTCCGAACATACCTCCTTTTGGGGGGAGTTCCTATGCCAACACCTGTAGGGGGCCACATGCGAACCCTACCCCTGCCCCCCACGATTTCTGAGGGGGAGGGTGGGGTTCACCCCGCTCGGCAGCTCCCAGACGAAGTGAACCCCACCCCCCCCCTCAGAAATCGTGGGGTCAGGGGTAGGGTTCGCATGTGGCCCCCTAACCTGGCTACACCCAGGCAGGGCATGACGAGCGGGTCGGGCGGGCGGGCCCTCACGGACTGACCGGGCGGGACACCGAAGCGGGCGGCTCGCTCGGCGGGCGGACCCCGACGGGCGGCTCGGGCGGCCCCTCGCGGGCGGGCCGGGTGGGGCACGAGAGCGGGCGGCCTACGGGCGGGCCGGGCGGGTGGACCCCAACGGGCGGGTCGGGAGGGCGGCTAAAACGACGCGAAGATCGGGACAAAATCGGATCGGGATAACTCGAAATCTCTGAAAATCGGCGGGTTTGGAGGATGTATTGGGAGCCGCTCCTCCTCCTCCTCCTCCTCCTCCTCCTCCTCCTCCTCTTCCTCCTCCTATTCCTCTTCCTCATCCTCCTCCTCCGCCTGGCGCGTGGGGCCGGCGATTTTCCACGGCACCGCTGCGACGGCGGCTTGTGGCCACGGCGGTGTCTTGCCTGGCGCGCTTCGTCGACGAAGCCCCAGGAGGGGGAAGAGGCGAATTCGGGGAGGCCAGCAGCGCGGGAGGCGAATCGGATCGCACAGGCCCGCGCCTCTCAGGGGGAGGAGGAGGAGGAGGAGGAGGAGGAGGAGGAGGAGGAGGAGGAGGAGGAGGAGGAGGAGGAGGAGGGGGAGGAGGGAGAGAGGAGTAAGAGGAGGAGAGGGGAAGGAAGAGAGGAGGAGGAGGAGGAGGAGGAGGCAGAGGAGGAGAAAGAGGAGGAGGAGGAAGAGGAGGAAGAGGAGGGCGACGAAGAAGAAGAATAGGAGGGAGACGAAAAAGAAGAAGAAGAAGAAGAAAAAGGAGGAAAAGGAAGGGCGGAGCAGGAGCGGGAGCAGGAGGAGAGGGAGGAAGGAGAACAAAATGCGCTTCAATCGATGCAGGTCCTCGAGAGGTGGATGAGGAGAAGGAAGAGGGGGAGAAGGAGGAGGAGGAGGACCCCAAGAGAGTCCCAGCCGGGCCCAGAGAGGCCCTCATGAGACCGCCAAAGAAGCCCCGAGAAGCCCCCAAAGGCCCCCAAGAGGCCCAAGGAGGCCCCCAGGGTGCCTCCAGGAAGCTCCCAGGAAGCTCCCAGGGGGCCCCAAGAGTGCCCCCAGAAAGGGGCCACGTCCCATGCCCCCTCTCTCTTCCGCTCCTCCTCTCCTCTTCCTCCTCCTCCTCCTCCTCCTCCTCCAACTCCTTCTCCTCCTTTTCCTCCTTCTCCTCCAACTCCAATACCTCCTCCTTCTCCTCCTCCTCCTCCTCCTCATCTTCCCTGTCATCCTCCCCCAAGTGTTGCCCGAAGGGTTTCCACAACGGCTGGGGAAACACATGGTCCGATACTTGGCAGAACTCTTGCCACAACGCTCGGCCACATGGGCGAGTCCAAAAGGAAGGGAGCAGCGGTGATTCGCCGTCGGCGTCTTCGATGCACATCTATATATATATATATATATATATATTATGTATATACACACACCTCGATCGATCTATACAGAGGCAGATAGCTCGATGAAAAGACAGTACGGTCGACATTTCAACAGACATAACAATCTGTCGATATATAGTCAGGTAGTGATGCAGCTATATAGCAAGTGATACATACATATGGGAAGTGATGTCGATAGATAGACCGACAAAGGTTGTCCTAGTGGTTGTCCCGATGGTTGTCCCAATGTTGTCCCGATGGTTGTCCCGATAGTTGTTCAAATGGTTGTGCCGATAATTGTCCCGATGACCGTCCCGATGGCTGTCGCGATGATTGGCCCGATGGTTGTCCCGATGTTTGTGTCGGTGGAGGTCCAGGTGCCAGTCGACATAAAGATCGCAACATATATCGATAGTGGAATCGGTAGATAGATAGATAGTGAGATCGATATATCGTGAGATCGGCAGATAGACAGTAAGATCGACAGGTAGATAGAACGTGACAACAATATGTTCACACAGATGGGATATGCACACGGTGATTTCGGCAGAGGGTGAGATAGATGGATACTGAGATCGATAGATCGATAGAACGACAGAGGGGTTGTTCAATGCATAAAGATGGTTGTCCCGACGGTGTCCCGTCGTTGGTCTCTTCACATACTCACGCCATCCTCGTTATCGGCCTGTTGCCAGTCGTACAGGTGTAAGTACAGATGTGAACATATACAGATAGTTTTTACAAAACAATGAAAGAGGAGAAAGAGGAGGAGGACAAGAAGGAGGAGGGGGAGGAGCAGCAGCAGCAGCAGAAGGCTGAGAAGAAGGAGAAGGGGGGAACAACCCTATGTGGTTGAGCCCTGCGAGGTGCGCGCAGGCCCTTGGACCGTTTGAGTCCTCAACTCGAATTCGCGGTGCAGGTACAGAACACTCTAAACTGGCATACACAAACCAGAAAGCTGGAAACACGCATGACTGGATTCACACACATGTGGACCAACTGCAAGCCACGTGCTGTATGCGCATGCAACGGAAGCGCTGCGTGCCCGGCCATAGAAGGGCCGAGCGGCCGAAATATATTTGGCCAAATTTGTATCCAACTCTCGCACAAGCCAACGGCGTCACGTGTATCCAGCTTTCTGGCAAACCTTCGCAGAGCCGCGCAGAAGTCTCCGGCTGGCGCCAGACCCGCCTGGGAGCGGCAAGACATTCCGCGCGGGCTCCCGAATGTTTGTGCTCGTGCCCGATTATCCTGTCCGGAACTGTCGGGGAAGCAGGAGATGCCGACACCGCCACTGCTTCCCTGGACCTCTGCCAGTTTGCGTTCCCACGAGAGCCTCGAGGAGAGCTCCGCCGTCACGACAGAGGGTCACTGCGCCGACCTTGCAGACGTGCTGCAGCGGATTCTTGCGTGGACTGCAGTGGATGCGAAACCATAAAAGGCGAGCGAAAAACGAAGCGAGTTTCACGTGGATTTGTTGTAGTCTTCACTCCTGGCCAAAAAAAGCCCGCACGAAATTCACCTCGAAATCCGAAACGAGATTCTCCAGGACAATCTGGGCCCATCACATCGTTTTCCAAACGAAGTCCGCTCTCCGATGTTGGCGCCATCACACTGGGGACCCTGGGATGAGCAGCGGTATCGGTATCGGTGTCCCCTCCTCCTCTGAGAATAGCCCCGCGTCGGGGATCTCGGCGGCACCACCGCGAGCCTGTCTGAGCCCCGAGGGGAAGGGGGCCGATGATCCTCAGCACGTGTGTCAGAGCCAACGCGTGCTTGCCCATCGAGACCGCTCCATACGACGCAGGTGGTGTGATGATCTGCTGGTGGAGCTGAACGGGGTAGTCGGCTGCACGCAAGAGTGACCCCGGGCCAGAGTGACCTTTGGTGCGCGGCTTGTGCGGGGGCGCGACGGGGCCAAGCACAAGCGCGCAAGACGCTACTATCGCACCGAGCGCGGCGATCGGGGGACCCCAGTGAGCGCGCACCAAAGGTCACTCCGGCGAAGGGTCACTCTTACGTGCAGTCGAGGTAGGCGCACATTGGGCCAACACGCGTCCTGGGGATCATCGGAACGGGGGGGGGAGGGGCGACATGCCGCCGCGGCAGCTCGTGCGCTGCGGGGCCACGCCGTGAGCCGCCGCGCGCGCGGCCGCGCCCCGCTCGTGGGGCGACGGGCTGCGGCCGCCGAGCGGAGGCGTGCGCCGGCCCTGCTGGTGGGGTCGCGCAGCCTGCGCGCGCCATGGGCGCGGTCGGAAGAGGATGCAGTCGCGGCACGGCGCCCGGGAGCAGTGCGCAGGGGGAGAAGGAGGAGGAGGAGGAGGAGGAGGAGGAGGAGGAGGAGGTGAAGGAGAACCAGGTGAGCTGGAGGACGCAAGAATCCCCACCTGGGCGCTGGAACCGTCGGTACTGACAGATGATGGCGCCGCAAGGTTGCTGCCGACGGTTCCGACGCCTTCAGAGATAATACCCAGGTCCCTGTGCTTTCCCAGTGGGTGCACGATGGGACGACGGTTCATTCCACAGCACTGCAAACACAGACACGTCAAGACTCTTCGCTCGTGCCGTCCAACGTGTCTACCCCAACCCTCGACACTTCCCCCACTTCGTTTCCGAACATACCTCCTTTTGGGGGGAGTTCCTATGCCAACACCTGTAGGGGGCCACATGCGAACCCTACCCCTGCCCCCCACGATTTCTGAGGGGGAGGGTGGGGTTCACCCCGCTCGGCAGCTCCCAGACGAAGTGAACCCCACCCCCCCCCTCAGAAATCGTGGGGTCAGGGGTAGGGTTCGCATGTGGCCCCCTAACCTGGCTACACCCAGGCAGGGCATGACGAGCGGGTCGGGCGGGCGGGCCCTCACGGACTGACCGGGCGGGACACCGAAGCGGGCGGCTCGCTCGGCGGGCGGACCCCGACGGGCGGCTCGGGCGGCCCCTCGCGGGCGGGCCGGGTGGGGCACGAGAGCGGGCGGCCTACGGGCGGGCCGGGCGGGTGGACCCCAACGGGCGGGTCGGGAGGGCGGCTAAAACGACGCGAAGATCGGGACAAAATCGGATCGGGATAACTCGAAATCTCTGAAAATCGGCGGGTTTGGAGGATGTATTGGGAGCCGCGGCCGCTCCAGAGCGTTCCGGAACGCTCTGAGAGCGCTCCGCAACGCTCTGGATCGATGTATCCCGATCCTAGCCCTGATTTAGCGGCCCCGGAGAGCGGATAGGGCGGCCGGACCCTGCCGGGCGGGTGGGGCAGGCGGGACTTCGAAGCGCGCTTCCAGGATGAGTCGTGGGGGCGTATCGGGCGAGAGCGCAACTCCCGAGTAACGTGTGAGGGAGTGCTGGGCGAGAGTGCAGTGCCCGAGTGGCGCGGGCGCGATGTCTGACTAACTTGTGATGAAGTCCCAAGCGAGAGCTCGATTCATGAGCAGCGAGAGCGCGATTCATGAGCAGCGGGAGCAAAATTCCAAAATCAAGTGTGAAGGAATAACAAACACGCTAGGCACCGGCGGGAAAATCAACAATATGGTTTTGCGCTTCAACGAGAATTCAGCGCAAAATGAACTCGCGCTGCAGCCGCAAAATCGGCAGCCGAAACGTGCAGAACTGACTGGAGGCAGCTGTGTAGGCGTTCGTCTACATGTGCGCGCGTGTGCATATGTACGAGCACATTGGCGCGTGCACATGGGATCTGGACGCGTGTGCTTGTATCGACCATGTCCGCTCGCGACCGCATGCGCACGCAAAAGCATGCCGCACGTTCGCTTCCCCCTGTCACGACATGAAGGCAGATAGGGGACCACCTGCGAACCCTACCCCTACCCCCGCGATTTACGCACACGCACACGCACACGCACACGCACACGCACACGCACACGCACACACACACACACACACAGGGAGGAGGGAGGAGGGAGGAGGGGAGAAGGAGGAGGAGGAGGGAAGACGGGAAGAGGGGAAGAAGGAGAAGGGAGGAGGGAAGAAAGGAGGAGGGAAGAAGGTGAAGAAGGGAAAAAGGTGGAGAAGGGAGAAGAGGAGAGAAGGTGAAGAAGGGAGGAGGGACGGAGGGAAGAAGGAGAAGGGAGGAGGGAGGACGGAGGGAGAAGGGGAACAAGACAGCACGGGGAACGGGAGAGATGAGCAGCGCAGAGAGGGCACGAGGGAAGGGGACACAAAGGGCAGAGGAGGAGGATCAGGAAGAGACAGAAAGGGGGACGGGGGGAGAGAAGAGGGAGGGATCGGGCACAGGACGCGGAGGAGAAGAGGGCAGGGAAGAAGGGGAGATGGGGGAGTAGGGGGAGGAGAGGATGGAGAGGGGGAAGGCACGGGAAGGTAGAGGATGGGGGCAGGGAAGAAGGGGTAGGAGGGAGGAGGCGGCAGATAGCACAGGCGGCAGCGTCGGAGAGACCGCGTGGCCGACGGGGGCGTCGCGGCAGAGCGCGGAAGCGGCAGCGGAGGCAGGCACCCCGCGCAGCGGAGGGCGGCAGGCCGCGCCGAAGGCCCCGGGTGGGGCCCATGGAGGGCGCCGCGGCGCGGAGGCGTCGGGCCCCTCCTGGGCCGTCGCCCCCCCCCCTCCTCCTCCCTCCGCCTCCTCTCCGCCTCCTCCTCTCTCCTCCTCCTCCTCCTCCTCCTCGCCTCCTCCTCCTCCTCCTCCTCCTCATCCTCCTCCTCCTCCTCCTCCTCCGCCTCCTCCTCCTCCCTCCTCCTCCTCCTCCTCCTCCTCGCTCCTCCTCCTCTCCGCCTCCGCTCCGCCTCCGCCTCCTCCTCCTCCTCCTCCTCCTCCTCCTCTCCTCCTCCTCCTCCGCCTCCTCCTCTCCTCCTACCTCCTCCTCCTCCTCTCCTCTTCCTCCTCCTCCGCTCTCCTCCTCCTCCTCCTTCCTCCTCCTCCTCCAGCCCTGCCTCCTCCGCCTCTCCTCCTCCGCCTCCTCCTCCTCCGCCTCCTTCTCCTCCGCCTCCTCCTCCTCCGCCTCCGCCATCCGCCTCCCTCCGCCTCCTCCCCCTCCTCCTCCTCCTCCTCCTCCTCTCCTCCTCCGTCCTCCCTCCTCCTCCTCCTCTCCTCCTCCTCCTTACTCCTTCCTCCTCCTCCCTCCTCCGCCTTCGCCTCCGCGCTCAGCCTCCGCCTCCGCCTCCTCCTCCTCCTCCTCCTCCTCCTCCTCCTCCTCCTCTCCTCCTCCGCCTCCCCTCCTCCTCCTCCCCTCCTCCTTCCTCCTCCTCCTCCTCCTCACTCCTCCTCCTCCTCCTCCCCTCCTCCTCCTCCTCCTCCTGCTCTCCTCCTCCTCTCTTCCTCCTCCGCCGCCTCCTCCTCCTCCTCCTCTCCTCACTCCCCTCCTCCTCCTCCGCTCCTCTCCTCCGCCTCCTCCTCCTCCTCCTCCTCCTCCTCCTCCGCCTCCGCCTCCACCCTCCGCTCCCATCCGCCTCCTCCTCCTCCTCCTCTCCTCCTCCTCCTCATCCTCCTCCTCCTCCTCCTCCTCCTCCTCCTCCTCCTCCTCCTCCTCCTCCTCCTCCTCCTCCTCCTCCTCCTCCCCCAAGTCGGACAGCGCCGGGGGCCACGTGGGCTCCCAGGGAGCAGACGCCAGAGGGACTCCCCCCCTCGGCTGCACGCAAGAGGGACCCTATAGGCAAGGGTGGCCTTTGGTGCGCGGCTCCGGGCGCGGGCAGGAGAGTCTGCATCCAGATCCACTGCGTCCTGGGGGGTTCGAGCGCCCCTCCTCCAGTGCAAGAGGCGCCGTGGACATGGAGTAAAAACAGCTCAGCCCCGAGAGGTCCGATGTTTATCCTTGTCCACTGCGCCGCGGCCTGTTGGCGCCCATGCACAGAAAAACCAAGACGCAGTGGATATGGATACAAATCGTCCCCGCGTCAAGGGACGGCGGAAAACCCAGCTCCAAGCGCGCGGGCCAGTGCTGGGGCCACCCCTGTTAGCCCGCACCAGAAGCCACTCCAGCGAAAAGTCACCCCTTTACGCGCAGCCGACCCCCACACACTGTGGAACAACGCTGGCAGTCCCGGGCGCCAGACACCGCGCGCGGATGGGCAGGGACGGGGCACTTCTTCTCTCGGACTCGGCGGACCCGCGGGTCGGTCGTGGCGAGCGCTGGGCCACAGCGAAGCGAACTGCGCAGTGCAGGGGTGAGACGCCCAGTGAGCTGGGCGGGCTCAACTGTGATGCGAGCCTGGGGCGGTGGGAAAAAAAAAAAAACAAAAAAAAAGAAAGAATGAAAAAGAAAAAAAAAAGAAAAGCGGTGGCAGAAGGTAAATCTCTGCGCCAACTTGCCATCGCTCGGACGTCCATGCACCGTGCATGTTTCGGTTTCGCGCGTGCTTCTTCGCCAAATGATCCAGGATGCTCCTCGATGGTCCTCGCCGAAATATCATGCACCGGTCCGAGCGATGCCAGGCCAAGGCCGCGGTTCCCACGTGAGCTGTTCGTGGGGCCTCGGGGGTCGGGGTCGGTGCCGCCGCGGGGCGTCGCAACGGCGGTCGCCTGCTGAGCACGGCGGACCCGCGCGGCGCGGAGGGCGGCCCATCGGTGCAGGCAGCTCCGCGGTGTGCCGCGCAGCAATGGCGCGGGGCCCGCGGGTCTGAGCCTCCAACGCGCCGCGCCGATGCTGTGTCTGGCGCGCGCGGAGGCCGCCACACCGAGGCGCGGCGGCCGCCCGTGAGGCCCGCGCCCGCAAGGTCTCTGCGCCGTCGGACTGGGACGGCGTCGCCGCCGCGAGGGTTGCGGCCGCCCGCGAAGCGCGCGGCCTCAGCTCGTGGGAGGAGGCGGCGGCGCCTGGTGCCCCGTGGACCCGCTCGTCGGCCCAGGGCACGCCTTCGCCCTCGGACGGCGCGCCCGCGCCCTCGTCGACGGCAGGGAGCTCTGCGCCGTCGGCCCGGCACGGCGAGCCCTCCGCGGGGCCCGCCTGGAGACGCAAGCTCGGGGAATTCCCGCCCGGATGAGATCGGGCGGGTCATGCTCCAGCCGACCGCGTGCGAACGTGTGCGAGTGGCTCCGCTGGCCCGGGCCGCGATGCCGCGGTGGCCTTGGCCCCCGACGAGCCCCGCTGTTGGGGTAGCGGAGGGCCCGCGGAGGGGCGCGCGTAGCAAGGGCGCGCGGTCGGCGCGCTCCAGTAGAGTGGGCCCCGCGCAAAATCCAGGTGCCAGGGGCCCCCAGTTCCAGGGTCGGCGGTGCCTTCTGCTGGAGCGACACGGCCGCGACGACGGCCGCGGCCGCATCCTCGCCACCGGGCTTCTGCACCGCGTCAAGACGCAAATCGCCCACGGCTGCGGGCAACCGAGAAGTACCACCGTGGCGCCAGGCGGCGGCATGGAGGCCTTCACGACAGCGAGGCTGCCACTCGCCGGCGGAAACTCGGGACGTCGGCACCCCAGCTCGTGAGGTCTGGCACAGCCTGGACGTGCGCACTGGTTGGTGGCCACCTGAGAGCGCGCCATTGCGAGCCTCCGCGCCGCGGAGGTCCACCGCTCCCGCCGGCCACGGCTGCGCCCTGCAGCGGGCGCCAGCGGCCCAGTCGCCCTGCAGAGCCCCCAGGTTTGGCGCAGGCTTCCACGAGCGCGGTGTCTGAGTCACCTACAAGACGGGATCCACAGACAAATTAAATGTTATTATAACGCTCTTTTATACTGCTTGTTCCCCTCCCCTCGTGCCGTCCTCTTCTGTGTCTTCTCTCGGCTTTGCCGTCCTCAAGATTTCGGCTCTAGAAGCTTGGGGTCCCAGCGGACCCGAGGGCAGAGCCGTCTCCTTTTTGGCAGATTGCACGTGTCGGGCGGCGCCCGACGGCCGGCCATCCCCAGCGGAGGGCCCAGACCCTCGTCACCACGAGGGCGCGGTGGTACATCGCGGCCTGCGCGGCGGGCTGGATCGGGCCCGACATCGCGGAGGAGGGCCGCCCGTTCTTCGGGTTCGCGGAGGCGGACCTAAGAGAAACAAAAAAAATTATAAAAAAAATAAAAACAAACACAAAACAATTAGAAAAAGTAATGCACAGAGAAAAAAAACAATATAAAAAAAAAACGAAAAAATGAAAAATAAAAAAAACAAGAATGAAAAAAAAAAATAAAAAGATTAGCTGGCCGAGGGCGACGGCACGGACTACGAGGACGCTGCGGGGCAGGTGATCATCGTGGGAACGAAGGCGTCGGTCGTCATGGCGCCGTGGGCGCGTTGGAACCGCATCTACCTCAAGACGGGCAGCAGCAGCGGCAGCGTCATGCTGCTGATCAGCAAGATCGGCAAGTCGAACAGCACTCTCTGGACGTGTGCGGACCCGACACTACGGGTCCAGGTCGTCAATGTCCGTGACAAGGACAGGGTTTTCACGAAACCCAGGGTCGGCATCCACTGGACGGAGCATCCTGGGCTGAGCGCGGCCTCGCGTGACCTCGTGCTGGCGGCCTCGGAGAAGCTCATCGCGAGGCGGGAGCTGGAGGGTGAGGGGGCCGCGCACAAGCCCAGCCCCAAGGCCAAGGCGCCCCCGAAGTCCAAGAGGGCTGGCAAGAAGAAGGAGCACTTCCTGTGGTGGGCTGTCGGGGGCGCCATCAACCTGGCGAGCTTCGTGTGGCTCCGCCGCTCTGGCGGGTTCTGCGTGGCAGCGGGGTTCCTGGGCTGGCGCGCCTGGCGGGCGTTGGGGCTGGGCTCGGCGCTCAAGTCCTTCTACGACATGGTCGTCACGGCAGGTGAAGCGGCTCATGAGGCAGGGCAGTACTACGAGATGGCCGAGGAAATGTGGGAGAGTGGCGAGCTCGAGACGATCGTCACCACCCTGGGCTGCGCGGTGGCAGGCGCCTACGTCTTGTTCTGGATGTTCCACGGCGGTCGCAAGCTCTGGGCAGGAGACTCTGACACGGAGAGTGAGGCCTCGGATTCGGACTACGTGGCGGGGACCCAGGTGCCCGACTCGGACGACGAGCCTGATGCGCGCCACCTCTATGCAGAGCTTGCTAGGGGGCAGTCGGCGCTCCAGGCGAGCGTCGCCTCTTTGGCCGAGGTGATGGCTGGGAAGACGGGCGCCGGCCAGGACGAAGCGTCTACGCCGAAGAAGCCGCCCAGGCGCCTCCAGTTCGAGAGCGACAGCGAGGAGCAGCAGCCCGAGAAGCCCTCAGGTACCCAGGTGGACGCCTTCCTGAAGAAGCTGCAGGAGCATGAGCGTGTGGTCTCTGAGGACTCGGGCCGTGCCACCAAGGGGAGTGCGCCGACGTCGGCCTCTTCGACACCTACGAGCTGGGACAAGATCTCCGCGGGATCCGCGGGGGTGCGCGACACCGTGGCGCAGCTCGAGATCGAGGCCCGCAACCCGAAGGACGGGCTGCTCGCCACGCTCAAGTCCTACCGCGAGGTGGACGGGGGGCGTGTCGGGGGGGTCCAGGCTCGGGTCGCGCCGACGGTGCTTGCACGTCTCTACAAGTCAGGGCGGGGCGCTCGGGCCGAGCTGGATGACTGGCTCAGGCAGAAGGAGCTCATCAAGTGCTCCATCGCGTCGGAGGTGTACATGCTCGGGGCTGTCTTGGACAAGATGATGTCGGCGGGCGAGTTCGACTCCCTGATCAACTCACAGGCGGCC